TACACAAAGCTCGTAAAGTGCACTCATTTCTATAATAAAACCGAACCAGCAGGCTATGCTGCTGAACAAGAGTACTTAGAAAGAATCCAGGCTGAAGTGAAACAAGAAATAATAATTGTGAGCACATTTATTGTTCTTTCTACAAAATAAAATTTTTTTTCTCAATCTTTTTGTCTTGGATGACGCTCAGAGAAGATTTTACTTCTGAGAACAGATAGTGCAGAAGTTACTTTCCTGCCGGTCTGCTGCAGACTCAACACTGTTGACCAGAGGGTAGTAACAGACTGTGGGTGCTCGAACAGCTTGACACATGCCCTTAAATATCTTTGCTGCTTTTATAGATGAATCCCCAAAATTGATGTGCTCATTACTCAATATTTTCTCCTTTAATAAAGATCCTATCATTAGGATAAAAAGACTAAAAATAGGTACAGGCTTAATTACCTAGGAATTTCATGTTTCTACAAAAATTTAAAAATTTGCTCCCCTCTCATTGTATTGAGAAATAAGTCTTGTTAATATTTCTCACTTGGAAGGAGAATTTACAAGACCTTCATGGTGACATAAATTTAAGAGGAGAATAAAAGAGAAATCGAGTAGGCTGTATTAATTATGTCTGCAAAAGACCAGAGCCCCAGGGAAGTCCTGTGTTACGCAGGCGTATCTTTGTGTTAACGTAAATATATAATGAACTTTCTCCAACAGTAACACGTAGCTGACCTCAGGCAAATTATCCCCTTCAGAAGAGTCAGGTGACAATAAAAAGTTACGAAGTCAAGTTCCTTAGTTTGTTTACAAATATAATTTTATTCCTACCAAATTAAAAACAAAACAAAACAAAAAAAAACCAAACCAAACATTAGCAGGATTTGAACGGCTCATTGCAGTATCCTGTGCATAGTTTTACTTGGGCTTTACTATGTTTCATGTGCAGTATAAGTCCCTACTTAATTCAATCACGGGATAAAGCAGTTATATTCTTGCCAGATTCTTTTACAGTGGTATTTATTTAATTATTGTGCTGTGTTAGGTATGCTAGCGTACTTGATTTGATTCACTGAATTTAATAAATACTTCTGTTGTGCTCATCACTGAAAATATTATGACCATATGTCCAGCTAAAATAATTGAAACAACATTTCCTACTTATGTGGAGCTAATAACCTTCAGATAGGAAGCCATAAAATCTAATTGGAATAACTGCCTAGTCATTCAGCAAATAAAAAAGGGTAAAGCAGCACATCACTCTAGACCTAGTGATGCATGGGAACAGCAGTAATATCATGCTACCTTTGTCTTCTAGATGTTTTAACATAAAGTGACCTGGGTTGTCAAGTGCTTAACGCTCAAAAATTTTGCATTTTATACTGTTTGAATGTGTACACACACACAGACACACACACACACAGAGACACACACACAATCTGTTGCAGTATCATCTTTGCTTCCACCGACACCTTCCATTTTCATATTCTTGGTATGTATATCTTTGTAGCTTGTTCATTTATAAAAGAATGTCATGACTCTTGCTTACAGAAGCTAGAATTGCCAGATTTTACATTGAACTAAAAACTGCAATAATTTTAATTACATTTGGAATGTTAAATTAATAATTTAAATACATTTGGAACGCCAAATACAGCGTCTTCCTTTGGAGCAGCTGAGATCCTGGTGCTATTCAGATGCAAGTAACCCCCCTCCGTCCCAAAAAAAAAAAAAAAAAAAAAAAAAAAAAAAAAAAAAAAAAAAAAAAAAGAATAAGAAAAAAAGAAGGGTAAGTATCTGTAAGCTTTTAGCTCCCACCCCAGTCTTCTGTGACCACAGCTGGATGTTGGTGATTCCTGTAGGAGTGATTCCCTCTCATCTTTCCTCCGGAGGGTTTCTCCTCGATGGAGCTCCCGCCCAAGGGCCACCACCTCTGTGCACAGCTGTACTCAGCAAGCCAAGAGATGGAACCAGCCATCAGGTTTCATTATCTTTTGTGGGTTTTTTTCTTTGCGTGGTGTTCTCTGGTTTATGTCACAAAACTGTTGCCCACCTCTGAGCTAGCCATACTGTATTTAAGTGGTTGAATCACAGTGTGCTTTTCTGAGCTTCGGATTTTTCTTACACGAACGGGAGCCCACTCCTCATTTTGCTTCTCAAATCTTCCAGCTTCATAAACAAAAGCTGTCTTAAAGTAACATGGAAAGGGCTTAGCTGATAAATTTATATGGGTCACTACTGAGATGCATATCAAAAATTTGTATTTTTATTTTTCATCTTAGTGAGTTTGTGGCTTATCGAACTATCTACAGTGGAAGAATTGCACTAATCTGCATGGATAAAATACCAAAATAAGTCCAAATAATGGGAAAGAGTAGAAACAAAGGTAGAAGCACAGAGTGCCACACACAAGAGCAGGCAGCACTGTCTGTGCACAACACAATGATATGACTGAGAAAAGTTGCAGCCAATGGAAAACTTCCAAGAAACCTGATTTTGGAGCAGCCCACCTTCCCGTTAGCTGTGCACCATCAGTGAAAACCCGCCATGGGAAAAGCCAGGCACCTCTACCACGAGAATCCTCCCCAGCCTCCATTTAAACCCCGTCTAGACGAGATAGGCTTTATTTTGACACTGAGGGAATCCAGCCTGCACGCGCGCCGCGTGAACAGCCCATCTGTTCCTCCCCGCGCTAAACATATCCCACCGTGCAGGGGCTGCCTGCGGGAACACATGGCTACCCGGCAGCGCTGCCAGGTCCCCGGAGAGCTTTCCGAGGTACAAGAGACGTGGGAGCCCATCTGCCCCAAAACACAGCTCATCACAGGCGGCGCGAAGGCCACTCGTTGCCGTGCTGTCGTCTGGGGAGAACGCGGCAGAAGGTCTCCTCAGGGGCGGCGGGTGCCAGGAGCCCATCGCTGGTGTCTCCTCCTGGGGCAACAACAAACCCAAGCCCACACCAGGCCCTCTGACACCCATCCCCTGGCTTCAGGGACGTGTCACACCGCTGAAAGTAGTAGCGGCGGATTTCTACGCGTCCTTCTGCTCCTTCCCACCGCCGGAAAAGCCATGAGTGGGAAAGCCTCGAGGTGCAGCAAAGGTTTGGGGCAAGACCTTCAGAAGATTTTGAAGGCACCAGGGGAGGGCTGCAACACAACCCGCGTTACCACACCAGCCCCGGAGCTGGTGGCACTTCCCAGGCAAAGAAGCACCTCCCATTATGTCTTGTAAAGGTCAGTGCTAGTCTGCAGGGGGCACGGGGACCTGCCCACCCAGCCCAGCCGCTCTGACAACCTGGTGCCCAAAAAACAGGTGTTTCAGTCACAAATGTAAGAAAACAGCCACTCTACCCTGTTGCCTTCTACCCTGCCTGCTTTAGGATAGACTGTTCTACCTTATTTCAATAATACTTACTCTGATATCCAGATATTGACAGATGACACTGCAGCATTGAAATATTTTCCATTGTAAATGAATTTAAAGTAAGTCCATTGCAATATTTGTTAAGGGTACATTCCTGCTCCTCTTGGGAGGGGCTATAAAAAAACCCCAAACCTTTATCCAGTGCAGTACAAGTCTGGATTTTTCCTCTTTTTGAAAAGATGGTATATCAATAACAACATATTTTAATAAGTAATAAAAATGATATCTTTAAACTCTTACTGCAGCCGCTTAGAAATACTTTAAGAGTCGTAATGCTTTATATTGGATAATACCAATTTTCCAGTGGAACTTAAAAATTTTCAGTTTAATAGCTAAGTGTGATTATTATTTTCTTAATTTTTCCATTCAGGAAAAGAATTTCCACCACTCGATTCGAGCAATAACACTTGTTGGCATAAAAGAGAGACCAACTCTACAAATAAAATAATTTATTATTATAATAATTTACTTTGAGCTTTTCTTATGCGCAGGCAGTCAGGGTTTCCCAGTCATCACTTCTCTCTGGTTTGTTGCAAATGTTGTTCCAAACCAGTGGGATCCATTAAAAGAGCAATAAGTTGAGGACATACTTGAGAAAGCTCAAACACCTAGCACTTCTCAAGGTCATACCCTGATAAAAATTCAGAATACAGTAATTACACATTTTATACAATCGCCACATTTAATAGCAATTTTCAGTTATTCTGTCTCTCTATAGATTCCCCTCAACAAGCAAAATACTGGCTTTTGGCCAGATTTCAGGTTCTCTATTTAGCACTTCTTACTGGGTTGTGTTTGCCACCAAAATGTAGTTGTCAGGGCTAGAAACACAGCTCAGATTTACTCCATGGTTAGAGAAACAGGAACAAAACCCCCCAAAAACCCCACTTCCTCCTTTTCCAAGAGTCAAAGAAAGAAATTAAATGTGAGCCTCTGACCCCCCCATGAAAAACTTCTGATCTGACTCTTCATGTTTAAGATGATTGCTCTCAGGGCTTTCCTTGTCTCAACCTTAACATCCCACTGTGGACTGTTATTTGTTACGCCTCTTCAGAGCATTGGTACTGTGAAAGAAAAAAATGTATATAGATATAGATATATATATAGATAGATAGATATAAAATGAGCATAAAGGAATATTTGCATATATAAGGAGCATATATATCTCTTTCTATACATGCCTTCTGTCTGAGAAGTAGGTTAAACCTTCAGAGAGTCTTGAGATAAGTCTTGGAAAGTCACAGAATCAGAGAATCACCTCAGTTGGAAAAGCCCTTGAAGCTCCCCCAGCCCAACCATGAACCTCACCCTGACCCTTCCCAGTTCCACCAGAACCCTCAGCATCATGTCAACCCAAAACCATACGTAAATAATTTAAACTCCTCACTGAAAACATTTTTTTTGTGATTATTTTTTTATTGTTTATTCAAAGACTTTCCTTGCAAGCTTCAATACTTAGTGGATCTGAGTTTCTAATAGTAGCTAACCTTCAGTGTGGTTGGTAAATTAGGCAATACACTTACCTCTAGGATGTTCCTTTTCCTCAGCAACTGATAAAATGTATATGGAGTTCCTCTTCTGGTCACCCTAGAATGTTGTGTTTTGGAGAGAGAGAAAAGGAGATGCCTGGGGAGCAGATAGGGCACAGAGGTAAGTCTGAAGCAGTCAGTTATGGTGGTTATATTTTGGACTTGGTTCCTCTACCCAAACTAATGGCAAAACACTGACTGACCTTGGAGACAAGTGCTGTGATCCTGCCTGGGGATGTGTCACCCCGGGCAGTCTCACGAAGTGGATTTATTTCATCCAGGAGGCTGATTTTCACACCTTTCCCAAAATGGGGGCTACAAGACAGGACTCTCACCTCTTCCAGAACCCAGTGCAGCTGAACTTCCAAACGCTGAGCTGGGATGGTTTTGCAGGTTGTTCTGACGGGAGCAGAGCTGAGAAGGGGTGCCTCAGTGATCGGCCGTGGAGTGTTCTGGCTGCCAGGTGGAGCCGTCCAGCAGTTACTATATGGAGCTTTACCTCCACAGCTCTACAGAAGGATTTAAACTGATTTGTAGGCCACTTTCTCGAGCTAAAATATTGCCTGGCTTCAGTGATATTTCCTAAAGGGCCTTTTAGTTTTCTTACGTATTCAGCTCTTGCTTCTGACATATGCTTGTAGAAAACCAGTCGTTTTCTATTTGCAGAAGCATCACTAAAAGGGAAGGCACTGCCATTTCGTGTTTTGCATGTTGACGTGATCCTCTCTGTTGTCCCCTGCACAGCCACGCTGCGTAACACAAGCAAGAAGCTGGAAGATTTCACTGATGATAAAGAGAGGGCTGTCAAACGTGGTTCTCTGATCATTCACAGTGCGGTCTGTTCAGGTCTGACCCCTCACTGCATCTCCAGGTGATGATGATGAGGACGTGCACCACATACGTGCAGCCCTACCCTTATTTCTTACTAAGACCTTGCATGGAAACAGCAGCATTTACCATTCCTTGGATGTTCATCTCATTTATGCTGGCTACAGGTTTGCATTTCTCCAGACCACGTGGAAATGAAGAATGACGTTGAAGAATGATGTTTCTGCCAATCCAGCTCTCGCCGCTTTAACACCACAACTACTGGGTGAACAGTAATGACAAGCCTTCAGAAGAGGTTCCTGCGGGGTCTTGTGCAACTTGTTGTGGGGAAATCATCTGCAAATCGCTTGTGATTTATTCACCTGTGATCACGCATTTCCCTTGAAGGGCAACCCGCTGCGCCAGAGCTTTCCTGGGTGGGTGTTAAAGCTGGAGCTGAAGGGCTCCTCTCAGCTGGTGGTGGAGGGACACGCAGACTTCCAGAGATGGGGCCAAGCCCCCGCCATGGAGCAGTCAGTGCTGGGGGGGGGGTGTCATCACCCCGAGAACCACCCCCCCTGGCTCCTCTCCCTCCAGGCCGGGGGAGCAGCAGCTCCTCAGCCCCACCACCCTTTCCTGGATGAGGGCAAGAGATCCTGACTCCAGCCTGGCAATTTAGATGGGTTATGCAAGAGAAACGCAGCTACTAATCCTCAGCACGCTTCCTCCTCGGAGCAGGCACTGGGGTTTCCTGGAGACAAGAACAAACACAAACCTCTTGGCAGCAGCAGTCCCCATCGACCGGGGACCCCGTGGCCCCTCCGTCTGGCTGCTTCTGCTGCAACATGCTAAGGAGGCAAGTTCTGTGCACCTTTCAGATCTTACTCTTCATTTAAAGCCTTTTGCCTGCTCCCAGGGGACAGGATTGGGGAGGGGGGTGGTTAGCAGCAGTTGCCTCTGTGGTTTTCTTGTCGTTTTTCTGGTCTGCCCAGCAAACCCACCAAGCGGCTGCTGGCTGCGGGGGGAGCGGAGCTGGTGCCGTTCAGACACAACCTTCGCTGCCCTGGCAATTGCTTCTGGAGCGCCGGCTGTCCGGGATTAGGATTAGCTGAAGTTTCAAAAAACCGAGGGAGAGGAAACTCTCAGTTTCAGGGTAAAGCTGACAGTTTGTGACTTTCCTGAGGCTTTCAGTTGCTCCTGTCGAAGGGGACAATTTGGGGCTGTTCTGGCACTAGGGTCATATTTATACAAGTCCCAGTCTGCAGCTCTGTTATTCTCCATTTAAAAACGTTTGTTAAGAAGTTTATATATGAAACTGCTGTTGTCTAAGCAGGTATTACATATGTAGCACCAGCTCAGACGTTTGAATTCCAGAAACCATTTACCACTCTTTTTCATACAGAATCATAACCATGTGTTATCAATCTTAATTTATGCGTCCATAATCCACCATGCAGTGCAAGCAGTGCCGTGCAGACAGAAGTATGTTGTGGTTATTTGCTCAGATTTCTCACTAGCAATGTTCAGAAAATGTTTATTATCCAGTCTAACTCTTACTAAATATCTGTGTCAGTGTTTACACCATTGAAGCCACCGTAGACATTTATGGACCAAAAGTCTTGGTTTTGACAACACTGGTGCAAACTTACTGGTTTTGAAAAAGTTGTTTCTGAATCACTGAAAACGGAATTTCTTCCTGGTGCATGTGATTTCAAGCTGTGATTATTTGCCAGCTTTACCACTCCAGGTATTCTCCTCTTTGATGTGCCTTTGATGCCAGCCAACACTTTTTGCCACATTTGTGCTATCTAGTAAAACCTTTCACTGCAGTTTTTTTTGGAAAACAAACACTTCTGCGGGGCTGGCATCCCCGGGATCAGCGAGGGCCTCGCTGCTTGTTTGCACAACAGGTACAGCCTGGAAAGCTGCCCCTCGTCCTCAGCTCATGGCCACCCCCATCGGCATCCTCCACCTGGAGAGGATTCAGCTGGACAAAAGCAAAAGTTGTTTCTCCTGGATCTAAAATCGGACTTTTCCCTGGGAAATCAGCCCCGTTTCCCCAACCTCCTGGGCCTGCCTAGCGGTGTTGCTGAAGGTGTAGGAGAGAAAGTCCAGCTTGACACCGACCCTGTCCTGCTCTCGGAAGCGTCTGTGTCACCCCGAGGGTGCACTGAAAGCTCCCCCAGAACCGTGGAACGCAGCCATCCGCGTGGTGGGCTGCGTGCTCCCGGCAGAGGTCTGCAGGACCTGGTACCCCAGGTCCGTGGCACAAACACCTCCCGGCACCCCGTGCGCGTGAACGCCACGTCCAGACACAAAGCCTACAGAAACACAGAACTCCTCTGAGCCTTTCCTTCGCTGGGCCTTTTAGGCAATCCTCATTTCCAGCCTCGTTTTAAGAGGATTTTCAAAGGTCTGCTGACTCCTCTGAGCACATCTGCATCTTCTGAGTTTGCCCACAGCCAGATTACGGGAGACACCACCTCCAGAGCATCTCAAGGGATGCTCCTGAAAAAAAGAGGAAAGCCCTGGGAGGTGCCAGGGTGGAGGGCTGAAGACAGACCTTTCTGCAAGCTGATGTGAGGTGGTGGGGTTGATGTTTTACAAATGCAGTTAAGTGACACAGCAAATAAGGCCTGCAGTTGGATTTCTTAGAACAGAGGAGATAAAAACCTTTGCAGACATCATCCTCCTCAAGCGCAGGCAGAGATATGCAGCCCCAGACTAACAGAGCCAGCCACTCAAAGTGCCTGCAAGTACTAATTATATCTCTGCCTTTGACTTCATAAATAGGGACTGAAGCTGGTCCAGGAAAAAGGGGAAAATACCTGCCATTACACAATTTCATACTGAATGAAGCCATGTTCTGCACAACATTGCAGACTGACTTATCCCAAAATATTTTAAATTATCTGCATGCATTTGGTATCTCTGCTTTTAGACAATTACAGTTCCAGCGATTTGTTGTGGTGATAAAAATGTGAGGGGAATTATATCATTAATGTTAAAATGTTATGTGTGGTGGACAGGCAATAAACCATCAGGTTTTGCCTCCAGTTCTGGAGATTTGATCCCATGTGGGTTGAAATCCGTTCCTGAGGTTGTCTCCTGTGTTCAGCCACCACAAGATCGCTTGATGAAAAGTCTTATAGGGGAAGTCCAGCCAGACTTAAAAGTCCACACAGTTTTAAAACCGAGGAAAGCCGAAGTAAGCAAGCTAAGAGTTGAACCAAGAGCTCTACCAAGAAGAAAAAACAAATCCTCCAAGCCTGAAGCCCATGGCCAAACCCCACCAAGCAGCAGCCCGCTGCCCCTGGAGCATCGCTTTCGGCTTAACAGCAGAGATCACTGATTGTGAACCATTTTCCCAGAAAGTTCTCTCTGATGTTAGATTTTCCTGCTGTCAACAGTCAACTCAACTCACTGTGCTCGGTATACTCCACAACTCTAAACTGGGCTCTGCAAGGCATCCCAGCTTGTCTGGGTTTTATTTAATATGGGAAGAGACAGCTCTTGTTTCAGCCTGGCTTAAATAAAAATTCAGGAGACAGCTCTGAGCACAGCAGAGGGCTGAGAAAGCCGTTTGCTGAACTCCTCAGATTGTTATCATTTCTTAGAAACCTCTTGTTGGACAGATGTTATCAAGGAATCGCTAACAAGAGCACCAGGATTATTTAATTCATGACAGAAGCAATTAGGCAACACTGACAAATCATTATTGCAGTTGTGCTGCAGAACATTTGTTATTGGTTTTTAGCAAGGAACATGCCTGGAGTGAAGCTCATCAAACACTTTGCTCACCTCTGCTCCGGGTCACTCACCCTTCGCCCACTGCCTTCTCCCCCGTGTCCCGGTCTGTGCTCTGCTGATTCTTGAGAAACAGCATGGAAAAACAGCTGAACGACCCCCAGATCCTCACCCCTGCTCCTCTGGGGTGGCCTGGGATCATGGTGGTGTGGGGGTGGGACGGAGGAGCTCAGACCGTTGCTCTGCTGCTGGCCCAACCCACCCATCAGCGTTGGACCCCGTGAGATGGAAAGGTGCGTTTCATGTGACCTTGCTGTACTTTTTGTTTTATGAGGAGTTGTATGTGCCTTTGTTGTGTGTTGGTTATTTAAGAGTGGTATGAAATTTTGTGCTTATTTTCTCGCCTCGTTTCTGTTCATGCAGAAGCCTTCATAATGATTTATTTGATTAGCGGTAGAAATGGGGTAAGTGCTCTGTAATACCTAAAATAAAAATCAGTTAATAACTCATGGCATTTATATATGAGAAATTAAAAATATATTAAATATACCTTAATATTTATTAAATTAAAAATAAACTACTTGATTAATTTTTCCTTGGCTTGTTCATAGCTACAAGGGATAATAATTTTAGAAACGGGACCTTATGTTCAGTGTTCTTGGACATACATCACCATTTACATCCGTATTAGATAAATACCAAGAGATGAGTCATATCCCAAATCATCTTATTCAGGAGGTTACTTTGAGAACAATGTAAATAAATTCAACTCACCACCCCGCAGCACTCCTTGGCTCCCAAGCTACAGTCCTTCTCAGGGTAACCTTGATTATGAATTGTGCTGCTCCGTGTAGAAGATTTCCGTGGCATCCTGTCTACAACAGGGAGGAAGGCTGTTACCATGAGCTGAGTGGTTCATGCTGAGGTGTTACGGATGTCTGATGTCCATCATGGACTTTCTCAGGAGCTTTGAGGCCCTCCTGGCACTCCACGTGTTGGTTTGCACGGCAGCAGCTCTCCCGCCCCGCTGCGGTTCCCTCGCCCATAGAGTGGGTTCCAGTCCCTGTGGTGAACTGGTCCCTGCACTGCCCTTTCCCAGCGCCCCATCCTGACCCACCCCAGGCTCCGCTCCGCTCACCGCCAGAACCAGCTGGAGGTATTTTTCTGAAATAAGATCATCGTTTCCGTCACCTGTGTCCCTGGGCAAGGACTGGCCTCCCGTGCTGTTGGGAGAGCTGGGTGACAGGGGAAGTTCCTGGCTTCTCCTCATCACTCACCAACAACCTACCACTCTCCCAGGCATGTTTCACAGACAGTGAAGATCACAAGCTTTCTGAATGCCGAGCTACCAGGCAGGCTGGTATCCCTGCACATGGAGAGGCTGGAGGAGCTGGAGCCGTCCTCACGGCCGCTGACGTGGCAGTTGGCCTCTCCATCCCCCTCACGGGCCGCTCATGCCCACGTTCACACGGCAGAGATGCTGCCCTTCCACTTCTGCTCCAAGCACCGCGGCGATGGAGGAAGGTGCAATCACTGGGGTGAGCACAAGCCCAAGCCCCACCTGCAGCTCGTGCCGGGTGCTGCTGGAGCTCCCACCCTGCCACGGTGCAGTTACAGCCGCACAACCCCATGCTCTGCTTGGCATCGTGACCCCGCTGCTTGGGCAATAGCACTGTCTCAAACATCTGACCTGCTCATTTCACTAGCTGGAAGAATAAGAACTCGTCTTAAAATGTTGGCACTTCTGGTTGTTCATTTTATTGGCCAAAGTGTGATGCTCTCAGCT